CCGGCGCCGAGCCCCACAGACGCCGGGATTGCGGTCAGGCGGGGAGACACGCTCCCGAGCTCACCTCTCTGCACAGGGTGGGATCCGGCGGGTTGGCACCGGCGGGACCCGCGGAGGGTTTCACAAACATGAATTCGCTGATGTCCGAGACCGGCGAAAAGCAGGAGCGGTAACGCGGGGCTGGGGGTGCCGTGGCCGTCACCTGGACGCCCATCACCGTGTCCCCTTGCTTAGGCTCATAGTGCAAGTGCCCAAAAATGTGGCTGGGAGGGGGCTGAAGCGTGTTCACGCTCTCCACGCAGCAGCCCTGGTTGGCAGGCGCAGAGCCCCGTCGGAGGCACCGCACACCCAGTGCTGCCAGTCCCACCAGTGAAACAGTGGAGATGAGCACTAGGGACACAATCAGATAAAGTGTAATCGAGGGCAAGCCCCCACCATCGGTGGCCCGAGCCTCAGAGCCCTGCAAGGCCTCTGGGCCCTTCTCCTCCACCAGCACCACCAGTGTGACTGCTGTGGAGAGTGGGGGCTCCCCAGCATCCCGGACCACCACCAGCAGTTCATGTGCGGAGGCATCTGTCTCCTGCAGGGTCCGCATGATCCGGATCTCCCCAGAACGCAAGGCTACGCTGAAAAGCCCTGGGTCTGTGGCTTCCACGAGGTGATAGGAGAGCCAGGCATTGCGCCCCGAGTCCGCATCTATTGCTACCACCTTGGTGATGAGCGCAGGAGGGGCGGTGAGGGGGGAGATTCGCAACTGGGTAGCAGAGTCATCCCCGGCCCTGGGGAAATGCACCCGTGGGGCATTGTCATTCTGGTCCACTATAAAAACGTGAACCAGCGTCCTGTTCCTCAGGGCCGGGGAGCCACCATCAGAGACCTCCACGTGGAACTGGAGATAAGTGGTTTGCTCATAGTCAAAGGGGAGTTTGGCAGAGACCTGCCCACTTGTGGGATGGATGGAGAGGTAGCGAGTTGGATCCAGGCCTGGATCTGTCCCACCAGCTCGCAGGATGGAATAGGAGAGGCGGGAATTCTGCTCCGAGTCAGGGTCGGCAGCAGAGACTGTAACCAGCACACTGCCCACTGGGTTGTTTTCTGCCACCAGCACTTCATAGGACGCTTGCTCAAATTGTGGCGCGTTGTCATTGACATCTGCCAGAGTGATGGGCAAGATGGTGTAGCGGGAGAGCGGGGGACTGCCCAGGTCCGAAGCAGAGATGGTGACATTGTAGTAGGCAACATGCTCCCGGTCCAAACGGGTGCTGGTTAGCAGCGAGTACTGGTGCTCGTAGTCCTTACGCAGCTGGAAGGGAAGATCTGGAGAGACGTAACACTGGACCTTGCCTTGCTCACCGGAGTCCCTGTCTCTGACGTGTATCACAGCCACCACTGTGCCCGGGAGAGCATCCTCGCTCAGGGAGCTGGAGAAGGACGTAAGAATGACCTCAGGGGCGTTGTCATTTACATCAGTGATTTCCACCACCACGCTGCAGTGCTCCTCCATGGTGGGCGATCCCATGTCCTTGGCTTCCACTTCAATCTCGTATACCGTTGCCTCCTCGAAGTCCAGGTTACCCTGGACACGAATCTCCCCAGTTTCCTCATCAATGGCAAATATCTGGCGCAAGGCAGCTGAGTTGTGGCTGCTGAGGGAGTAGCGGATATCTCCATTGGGTCCTTCATCCACATCAGTGGCATTTAACTTCACCACGAGGGTGCCCAGCGGTGAGTTCTCCACCAAGCGGGCTCCATACGATGGTCTATCAAAGACCGGGTGGTTGTCATTGGCATCCAGGACCTGAATAGTGATGCGTATCTTGCTGGACTGTGGGGGAGACCCCCCATCTTCAGCGGTCAGCACCAGGTGGTGGAAAGCTCTGAGTTCCCGGTCCAGGGCCCTCTCCAGCACCAGCTCAGGAAACTTGCCCCCATCTGTGCGCGCCTTCACGTTGAGGTTGAAGTTCTCATTGGCACTCAGGTGATAGGTCTGCAAGGTGTTGGTGCCCACATCAGGGTCCTGGGCAGGCTGGATGGGGAAGCGGGCACCCAGGGATGCCAGCTCGTAGATGCGCAAGGAAACCTCCTCACTGGGGAACTCTGGGGGGTTGTCATTGATATCCAAGATCTCCACCTCGATGCGATAAAACTCCACTGGGTTCTCGATGGCAAGTTTCAGGTGGAGGAAGCAGCGGGGGTTCTGCCCACAGAGCTGCTCCCGGTCTATCCGCTCACTGACCATTATGACGCCAGTGTTCACGTTGACCGAGAAGTACTGGGAATCCGAATCGGACAGTACCTGCAGATTAGCTGCCGCCAGTTTCGCCACATCAGTGCCCAGGTCCTTCGCAATATTGCCCACGAAGGCGCCCCGGGTGAGCTCCTCCGGGATGCTGTACCGGATCTGAGCAGAGGAGCTGTGCAAGAACAAACAGAAAGAGAAGACAGGCGGCAGTCCCAGGGACCGGCCCGCCTTCCCTGCCCTCGGCATCCTTGCCGGGTGGCCGGCCGAGGAGCGATGCCCTCCGCGCTCCGGGGCCGCGCTCAGCGCTCGCCGCTCCCATTCATTGTTTGGGGCGGACGCGGTTCGACGGGGGCGGGGATGATGGGGAGTGAGGGGGGGGGCGCCGGTGCTCCGCGCAGCCATCTCGCCATTGGCTCCCAGCACCTTGCGGCTCCTCCAATCGCCGCTCTCCTTTCCCAGGACAGCAACACCGGCGCCAATCGCGACCCGCCGGTGGTTGCCGCCAACCTGCCCGGCCGCTTCCCCGAGCGACAACGGCGGCCCCCGCGCCCCCCTCACCGCGGCGGGGGACCAAGGGGGAGACACCGGAGGGAAGGGAGCGGTCCGGCCGCCCGGTCAGCCCCTCGCCAGCGCCTCCTTCCCCCTGCCCCATGGCTCTCACCTGGCCAAGGTCCCGCAGCGTACCGGTAGCAGAGAGGAAAGCCCCGGTTTCCCGCGGTAGGGTGGCAGGGGGCGGGCAAGGCCGCAGGAAGGTGAAGTCGCTGCGTTCGGAGCCGGGGGAGAAGCAGGTGCTGTAGCACTGGGACTGGGAGTCAGTGGGTCGCAGGGTGACCTCCATGTACTTAAGGGTGCCATCGGAGCTGAGCTGGAGCTTGGGGCTGGAGTGCTTGAAGAAGTCCCGGGAGGGTGACTCACTGAGCCAGCAGCAGCAGCAGGGCGAGGCGGCGGCACGGCCTCTGCGCCGGAGGCACCGGGCAGCCAGGAGGGTGACAGTGGCAAGTGCCACGGTGCTAACGGCTGCCAGCGCAATGATCAGGTAGAGGGTCAGGTCCGGCTTCTCCTTGGCACCAGCCAGGAAATCCCGGGGCTTGTAACTCTCTTCCTGGGCTGCCTCCTCCAGGGTCAAGGTGATGGTGACAGTGGTGGAAAGGGGTGGGTCGCCATTGTCCGTCACCTGGACAATGAGCTGCTGCACTGCTGTGTCGGTGTCCTGGAGGGCACGTGCCGTCCGCACCTCTCCAGTGTACAGTGACATGTGGAACAAGGAGGGGTCGGTGGACTGTGGCAGCAGTCGGTATGAGAGCCAGGCATTGTGCCCAGAATCTGCATCGACTGCTGTCACCTTGGTGACCAGGTAGCCCGCTGGGGCAGACAGTGGGACCTTCTGGGGTGCCGGGATGTCACCATCGCTGGCAGGGTGCAGGATGGTGGGGGGATGGTCATTCTGGTCCAGCACGAAGATGTAGACAGTAACGTTGGCATGGAGTGGGGGGGACCCCGAGTCCCGCACGACCACAGAGACCGGCAGAACCTGCAGCAGCTCGAAGTCAAAGGTGCGCTGAGCATAGAGGTTGCCATTGTCAGGGTTGATGTGGACGAAGGAAGAGGTGGGGGCACCCTGCACTTGACCACTCTCTATGGAGTAAACAAGTCGGGAATTATCCCCGTCGTCAGGGTCTGAGGCAGAGACAGTGCACAGCAGGGAGCCAGGTGGGTTGTTCTCCGGGAGGAAGGCATCGTAGGAGGGCTGCAAGAAGCGTGGGGGGTTGTCATTCACGTCAGATATGTTAAGGAGCAGCGTGAGTGTCGTTGTGAGGGTGGGAGACCCACCATCCTGGGCAATCAGCTCCACTATGTACTGTGAGGTAGACTCTCGGTCCAGGCTCTCCCGGGTCACCAGGGAGAAGTGGTTCTGAAGGGACCTGATGGAAAAAGGCACATGGGGAGAGATGTCCAAGCTCACATCCCCATTGGCCCCTGAGTCTCGGTCCCGTACATTAAAAAGCCCCACAACAGTCTCTGGTGGGGTGTCTTCCGGCACTGGGTTCAGGAGGGAGGTGAGCAGCACCTCCGGGGGGTTGTCATTGGCATCCTCCACTTCCACTTGTAGCACACAGTGGCCCTCCATCTCTGGGACCCCACCATCATGGGCTCGCACATAGATCTCATAGAAAGGGGATTCCTCAAAGTCTAAGGCCCCACTGACCCGGACCTCGCCGCTCTGGGGATCCAAGGCAAAGAGCCTACGGACTGAGTCAGAGGTGTGAACCCCGAAGGAGTACTGCGTCTCCCCATTGGAGCCCTCATCAGGGTCAGACGCATTGAGCCGGAGGAGCAGAGCCCCCACAGGTGTGTTTTCCAGGACTTGCACCTTGTACATGGCACGGTCAAATGTGGGCGCATTGTCATTGACATCCAGGACTAGGACCGTTATCTGTGCCGTGCCTGAGCGGGCTGGGCTTCCCCCATCCATGGCCGTCAGCACCAGCTGCAGCTCTGGCTGCTCTTCCCGGTCCAGGGCACGCTCCAGCACCAGCTCCGGGAAGAGTTTGCCATCCTGCTGCTGCTTGACGTCCAGGGAGAAGTGGGAGTTGGGGCTCAGCCGGTAGGAGGCCACGGCATTGGTGCCCACATCGGGGTCCTGCGCGCTCTCCAGGGGGAAGCGCGCAGCCACTGTGGCAGACTCGGCGATGCGCAGGGTGCGGTGAGCAGTGGGGAAGCTTGGGGAGTTGTCATTCAGGTCCAGGATCTCCACTTCCAGGCGGAAGAGCTGCAGGGGGTTCTCAGTCACCACCTGCACCGACAGCACGCAGCTGGCAGCCACTCCGCACAGACGCTCCCGGTCCAGCTGCTGGCTCACCACCAGTGCCCCACTGTCCAGGCGCACGGCGAAGTGGCGCAGGCTCTCCTCTGAGCCCAGGCGCAGCCTGCGACCCGGCAGCTCCTCCACCTTCAAGCCCAGGTCCCGGGCCATGTTCCCCACCACGGTTCCCACCTCTGACTCCTCAACCACCGAGTAGCGGATCTGCCCGGAGACCCAGCCCCAGCCGCAGAGTGAAAACAAACTCAGTACTTGCCATTTCCAGGCGGGTCGCTGGAGGCTGACACTCTCCATGTCTGTGCGTGTCCGGCCCGGGACGCAGCAGGCACTGGGGAGCTGCGAAAAAATCCCTGGGTCTCTCTTCTACGGCTTGGAAAACAGCTCCGGGGCTCCAGCAGGCTGCAGCTCTGACTGTCAGCCTCCAAGCAGAGGGGGTGGACTGGGGGAGGGGAACTGAATCACAGACCCAGCGCGGAGGTGGAAGGGGGGGGGGGAAAAGCAGATTCCCCCCCCTGCTTCAGATCAGCGTCCAATTGGCCAAGAGCTCTGTCCCCTCTCGGCCATCGGTGACTCCCCAGAGGTGTGGGAAGCAGGGGCCTGAGCTGGCATCAGCGGGGCTGCCACCCCCGGCCTCCCCTCTGCCAGCCTGAGTCACTTGCTCCAAGAGCTCGCTTCCCGTTCGCAAGGAAACTGCACGTCCTGGCAGCCTGGAAGCTAGGTACAAGCCCTCCCTGTGCTCTCCCCCCTTCCACAATGGTGGCTTCACATCGCGCCCACAGACAAAGGGCAGCTGTCATGAACGCAGGCCAAAGGACTTTTTATGCCCGATGAAAAGGTGCTTGTTAGAGCCCTGAGGTGCCAGAGGCTCTTCTCCCATCCCTTCCCCCCCCCCCCCCAGCTAATACTTTGGCAGCTGCCTACTCCCCATGACTGCCTCTATAAGTGAGGCATCACTACCACCAGTACCACTACCAGCCAGGAGACCTCGCACCAAGACACGGATGCCCACCCCTGCCAGCTCCCCATAGATGTCAGAGGCAGAAGGTGGAAAAGCAGAGATCGGTGTGCTATTCAAAGACGGAACACAAATGTTTCCCACAAAAACCTGACTGGACGCCCCTTCCTCACCCTGGGACAAAGGACGGGGGTCAGCCTTCACAGTACCTGAGTCACTGCAAATGCACAGAGCAAGCCAACAAGCCCACTAGATCACCACCAGATTGCAACATCAGGTCAGGATGCCAGACCAGGAAGGAGGTCCGAGGCTCCTACCTGGCAGACACACATACTAAAATTCTGTGGCAGACACAGCTTTGCAGCCAAGCAATCTCCAGCGGTGACAAAAGCAGGGGTCTCAGCCTCTCCAGTGAGAAGCAGAGCAGTCACTTCCCCCTCTCCCTGTACTACAGGATAGTGGCAAGCAGCAGGGTGTTAGCTCAGTTCACATCCCTGCAGAAGCCTTGTGGAGTCCTGGAGTCCTGTCCTCAGTGCACTCAAGGCCACCCTGACCTCCCTTGGGTGGACACAGGCCCTGGGGGGCTGGGGTCCACAGCAGTGCAGCAGGCAGGGGAGCCAGCTCCTGCCTGGGACCCTGCCTGTCCCCACTACCAGGGCACCTTCGGAGAATAGGTGAGAGAGGTTGGAGGCACCCATGCCCGGCACGGTGGACGATGGCAGGGACACCATCCTTGTGGGTGAGGACAGACACGGTGGAGGTGCTGCCGTGAGGGGCCTCCCTCCCCTCTGCAGCCCCCCCCTGCCTATTCCAAGAACCAAGAGGTGGGACCACCCTGCTGCCAGTCAGAGACAGACGGAGCAAACAACTTCGTGATTGGTGCAGTCACCGCCTGGTCCCACCTACGACCTGCTCTGTGGGAGAGGAGAAGGTATTCTTAAAGGGACAATGCAGCAAAACGCAGGACAACTGGATTCCACAGCATCCAGAAACTGATACCTGCTTGGATTTACTCATTCCCCGAGGGCTTCCGATGATGCCACCGGCAGGAAGCTATTGCAGTAACCATGACTCTGGGATGTGCCCTGCCCCATTCCAGGCAGGGCCACGGACAGCACAGCTGGGTGCCTGACATTGCCGTGGGCGACACGGTGGAGGTGCTGCCGTGAGGGGCCTCCCTCCCCTCTGCAGCCCCCCCCTGCCTATTCCAAGAACCAAGAGGTGGGACCACCCTGCTGCCAGTCAGAGACAGACGGAGCAAACAACTTCGTGATTGGTGCAGTCACCGCCTGGTCCCACCTACGACCTGCTCTCGGGGAGAGGAGAAGGTATTCTTAAAGGGACAATGCAGCAAAACGCAGGACAACTGGATTCCACAGCATCCAGAAACTGATACCTGCTTGGATTTACTCATTCCCCGAGGGCTTCCGATGATGCCACCGGCAGGAAGCTATTGCAGTAACCTTGACTCTGGGATGTGCCCTGCCCCATTCCAGGCACAGCTGGGTGCCTGACATTGCCGTGGGCAGCATGGGGTGTTGTGCCTCTGGGAGTGGGTTTGGTGCTGCTGCAGTGCCTCAGCAGAAGCCCCCTGTGAAGCCCACACGGTCTGGGAGAATCCACACAGTGTCCCGAGGTGGCTTAGTCACCAAGGGGCTGGATCAAGAGACAGGCTTCACATGGGGGATCCTGCTGTTGCTTGGGTCTGACGCAGCCTGGGGTGGGGATGCTGGCAAGACAGAAAAGGTATGGGGTGGCTAGGATGGAGAAAGAGATGCCCTGTTCCATAGGGCTAGAGCTCACCGTATGGAAAGGCTCCAACCCAGATGACCCAGGGAGCTA